GTACAGTACGAAGAGAGAGAACACTAACCTTGCTCGATGCGACTTCTAGCGTGGAGGACAGGAAGGTGGGTGGGGAGGCGGTTATTGCTTGGAGGGGGGGTGCCCCCCCCTACAGAAGCCATGACCACATGTCACAGGAGGGAAAATGGCCGCGGATCCTGTTCGTCACCCGATCCGGCGTTGGCGAACGGAGGCAAAATTTTGCAAACGGAGCTGTTCGTGACCCGAATTGGTCGTGAACAGAAGCATTTGTGACCCGAGGTACCACTGTATTGCAAACTTTCCCAGTCCAGTTTCTTTCCTCATTGTCTGTTGGATGAAGTCCTATCATAGGGAATGGAAGAACTTGCACTGTTGTACAATGGGTAGTAAATATTAAAAAAAAATTATTCGACAAAATTATTTTTATACTTCTTGAGGCTTGAGATAATTTTTAAAAGATATTTTTAAAGGCAATAATTGAAGCCAATAACATTTCTTTGTTGTTGTTATCTGTATTTTTAAATATTTGGAAAAGTTGTTCTCATAAACAGTAATTTGGATCTTTGCATAAGAATATGACTTATCAATTTTCTTCCTATAGTTGAAACAACATTAGTCATTTTAGATTCTAATAATAATAGAATCTCTGTTTTAAAAGGGAGGCTGAGTACATGTTCTTCTGAATTACTGCAATCTGTAAATTGGGAAGATACTAATCTATATTAGCAGATTATTGTTTGACTCTTTAATCATAGTTGTTTTTTATTTTCTATACAGTAATCATAAAATCTTTATATGTGAACAGTTTTGGATGATATTAGAAAACATCATTCAAGACTTCTTAAAGTTACAATTCAACCCAGAATTAGTTTACTTAACTTCATTAATTTCTGTGGTGATACTTACAGAGTGTCAATGGACTAGACAGTGAGGATCATAGAACAAAAAAAGCATGCCTGCATATTGTGTACCGCTTTCTGTGTTTTGCTATGACTTTCAGATTTTCCTCACTTTAAGTACTTGTGTTCAGTTCTTGCATTGATGGCATTATTTATATTTCCTAGAGAGTAGTTTGCATCTTAAGAGTTTGTAGTCAAGTGATTTTGCTTTGAGAAATTTTTTTTTAAAGATCTGTAGCGATTAAATAGTATTTTCTTCTTCCACTGGAGTAGGTATATTTTCTCCCAGTCTGCTTGAGTGTAACACGTATGTACAGGTGAGCAGAACCTTCCCTAGTGTGATTTCCTTTCAGATGCATGGATTTCAACTCTCAGAATTCTCAGCAATGGGCATGCTAACTAGGGAATCCTGGGAATTAAGATCTGCACATCTGGAGAGTGTCCAGTTTGGATAACTTGGTCTAGCTCTCAGCACTCATTTCCAGCTTGGCATTTCCAGGTATGTTGACTACAATTCTCATCATCTCCACTGACCATGTTGATTGAGATATCTGGGAATTGTGGTCAAGTATATCTGGAGAAGGTGACAAATTAATGGATTAGGTTCAAGGATTGTAGAGTAACTGTATCTGCTAACTAGAATAGTTGATAACTGCCAAACTTCCTGTTAACATAATAATGATCCTTGGAACTAAGTGGGGCCCTCAGCAAATATTTAACTAGAGGTGGCTCAGCATGGAATATTTCTTATACCAGACTAGGTTACTGATCCAACTAGGCCAGTATAGTCTGTTCTGCTTATCAGAGGCTCTCCAGATTGTTGGGCAGAGGCCTTCTCCTTTTAACTGATCTATGACCTCTTTAACTAGATATACTATGAATCAAACTGGCAATTTTCTGGAGGCAAAATGTTGGCTCTGTCATAAAACTAATGTTGCTCAACAAAGGAAATACTGGCTTGAAATCAAATATGTATAGCAATAAAAAGTCCTTTCTCTTGTGCAGAGCAGTTGTATCAAATACAGATGGTCCCTTGATTTTTACAAATGGCTTCTTAGGGATGCAGGGGCCATAGTGGGAGAAGGATCCAAAAAAACTCCTGGGTGGAAATGAAATTCTTGTCTGTTTTGGGAGCCAAATCATAGTATATAAAATTAGTATTTTTCAAGCAAAACCTAAACAGTAATGATCTCTTTGAAATATCAGTTTTATGACTTACTCTTGACATCATCAACAATCAAATGCATTTCTGGTATGTATTTTGCTACAATTCTAGTGTATTCTGGTATGGTTGCCATTATCTGGGCTGCAAAAATCCAGATACCTACAAGGTGGCAGCACTAAGCTAGAGTTTCTGTTCCATTGTCTGCCATTTTGTGATTGTTGGTTCTGGGAGCTGTATTGACCCAATAAGAAAACTGAAATTCTTGGTATACAAAACCAAGTTGCCATTTCAAAGCTAATATTTTATGTTATCAGTTTTAGCTTATCACATATATTTTATATGTTACCTTTCATTTCTGTCACCCTTCCTGGAATTTAAAACATGTACAGATAAACATATTTTTTCCTTAGTCAGATGTTCCCCTCAAAGATTTACAAGAAGGTGATGGCAGTGATATTGTTAGCACACTTCTTATGTTGAAATGAAGGCAGACAGCACAAACTTGCTAATAAATCTGGGCATTTCTCTTTTTACCTAGGCTAACAATATAACCAAAGCAACACTTTTGGGCTAACATTTCTGATAAATAGAGCCAGAGGATTCTTTGGCTATTGTGGAAATATGTGCCAAAGCATGCATTGCATTAACATCTACTGTGCTGCTGTGCCTACTTATTAATTTTTAAAGCAAGCAAGACTGAAGCCATTATGGGTGGTGTGGGAGCTTAAATCTTGTTCCACTGCCATTGTGATTCTTATCTCCCTCT